AAAGTTTTGTTTCTTGTCTTTCGGTCTTCTACAGATCTCTCTTCTGTAGATCTCCAATTCTGATTTCCTCACTGACTGCGCAATGCCTAACAAAAAACCTCCTCTCTCTTCTCTTAATCTCACTCTTTAGTTACCTTGTCATCTCCAAGAATCCTATTTCCTTTGCATCTTGTTTCTTCCAGTTACAGACCTAGTACAGATACTGGTTGCATATCTAATTCCAAATATCTAATTTATCATTTTTCTGCCACATTGGTCACAATTTAGATGAAAAATACTTACTGAATTTGAGAGAAAATTAGTCGAATGGTTTGGTTTCCATGCCTTTCTCCATTTATTTCCCAGATGCAATCTTCATTTGCTTTGAGTTGAATTGGAAGTGCTTCATAATTTTTCAGCAGTGTTTTCACACATGTTGAATTCCGTTCTAGAAAACCAGCAGTCATTGATTTATCTCAGTAATATTTCATAGAAGAGTTTTGACTGAAAACATTCAGAGATTACTTGCGTAAATGTAGAATTCCTATAGCAACATCTAAGTATTTAAATGTGTGCCTCACAGTGTCTTACGTAAGAGAATGTTGGAACAATTACAATAATATTTTTATAATCTATATTGATTTCAGTGAGAAAACTTATAAAACAAACATTTTGAACTCATTTCCAAGAATTAAGACTACACATATGTTTAAAATATATTTTCATAATTTAAGCAAAGATTAATTTCAAAGCCACTGTATATTAGTGAGATAATTTTTTTTCTAGTTTTACATATACCTTGTAATTCTGTCAGATTTTTTTCAGCAAAACTCAAACCAAAGAAAAGTGCCAAGAAAATTGCTGGAGAACAGCACTGTCTGCGTGCACTCATTTTGTTGAAGATTTGTTGTTAATCATTTTGAGCCTTTTATATCTCTGTTTATTTCATAATCATTAATGTTTGAGCTCAACTTGGAGATGTATGTGAGAAAGACACAGGTGTTAACATCATGTATTTTGTATACTATAGATTTATCAAAAGAACAGAGTGAACTATTTATAATTACCACACAAAGTCCACAAAGCTGGTTTTATAATTGTCTTATTAGTTCAAAATCTGTAGATCTAAAATGTCATAGTTGGAATAACCAGTGTAATAACCAACACCTTGAATTGGACCCAGAAGCAAACTGGCAACCAATGTAGCTTGCATAACAGAGGTGTTATATGGGCCCCTCCAGGGACATTCAGAATTGTCTGCACTGCATTCTGTGCCAGCTGTAGCTTCTGGATACTGTTCAAGGGTAGCCCCATGTGAGTGCATTGCAGTAATCCAGCTGGGAAGTGACCAGGGCATGACGGACTGTGTGGAGAGCCTCCCGATCTAGGAAGGGGCATAGCTGATGCACAACACAAAGTTGCGCAAAGGTCCTCCTTTTCACAACTGCCACCTGCTCTTTGAACAGGAGTCGTGAGTCTAGGAGGACCCCCAGATTACGCGCCAGGTCTGTCTGGGGTAGTGTGACCCCATCAAGAACCAAAGATGATAAACTCCTAGATCTTG